ATGTTTCTCTTTCAGGGTTTTATATATACCATCCCATTGTCTTCTCGCCTGCATGGTTTCTGCCGAGAAATCCAAGCTTTGTCTTATTGGTTGCCCCATGTAGGTAACTTTTCATTTTTCCCATACTGCTTTCAGGATTCTTTCTTTGTCTTTGTTTTGGTGAGTTTGATGTTGATATGTCTTGGTGATTTTCTTTTGGATTCTTTTTGTTTGGGGTTCATTGGACTTCTTGAACGTATATATTCTCATCTTTCATCATACCAGGAAAATTCTCTTCCAACAAATCTTCCACAGTTTTTTCTGTGGTTTTATTTTTTCTTCCTGTTCTGGAATTCCAATTCTAAAAAACCAAACCAAACTCATTGCCATCAAGTTGAATCGGACTCACAGCAATTCTTCCCTGGGTTTCCAAGGCAGTATCACTACAGAAATAGATTGCCCCATCTTCCTTTTGAGGAGTGGCTGGTGGGCTGAACCACCAACCTTCTGTTTAGCAGTCAAATGCCTTAGTCACTATTCTGTCAGAGCTCCTGGAATTCCAGTTACACGTAGGTTATTCCTTTTGATGGTATCCCACATTAACCTTTGGCTTTCTTCATTTTCTTTTGATCTTTTTTCTGATTGATTGCTTTCTAAAGAAGTATTGAAGTATTTGCCTTCAGTCTCACTAATCCTGTCTTCCAGTTCTGCTCCTTTGCCCGTTCAATGTCTTACCTTTTTCTGAGAATTTAGTATTAATCTTCTGCATTTCTAATGTGTAGATTTTGTATCATTTCTAATTTTTCATTTATTTTGTCATTTTGTTCTTGTATTGTCTTTTGAAATTGACCAAAGGTTTTCTCTGTGTTTTCCTGAATTTTGTGTTTTCCTTGATCTGTGTCTCAGTTCATTGAAGATACCTAAATATAACTCTTTTGAATTCTTTATCAAGGAATTCCAATGCTGCATCTTCCTCAGGGATGTGTTTTGGGTCTATATCCTGGTCCCTTGATTCTCCTGCTTTATCTTGCTTCTTTTTGTGTACTGTGATGCTCTGTTGTCTATGAGGCATTGTGACATTTTTCTGTTTACATTTAATTGGAGATTGTATGTTGGAGTGACTTGCCCATGATTTTCGTTTTGTTTGTGTGTTATCTACATAAGCAGGGTGCTGTGCTGTGCCCCTCTATTTCACTAGTTGGCAGGACTTAAACACTCAGACCACCTGTCTCCTTTCCCGTTGCCAGCCTCCCATTTGTCCCACTTGTCCTTGGCAAATGGAGCCTATTCTTAGGTCCCTGGAATCCAAAGGAGAAAGCTGTCGCTTTAAAATAAAAAATGGCCAGAACTTGTAAAGTCAAAATTGCTGCACTCTCTGGACAGCAGAAAGCCCACAGCTCAGGTTGTCTCCCTCCTTGCTGTTTCCCTTTTCCTAGTCATAGGCCACCAGCGCAGTCGTCCTTGCAACCCTTGGTGACCAGGGCTGATTTTTAGGTCAATTTTCAGGTCCCAACACCACCTGGAAATATTTAGGCTGTTGGTCTCCTCAGAGTAGCGCACAGTCCACTGCTCCAACCCTCTCTGTACTCACTGTTTTCGTTCAGGTTTTTCTACTAATTGATGCCTACTCCACTTCTGTATACTTCTTTTCAAAGCTCAGGGCTCCAGGATTATTTTTTGTATCTCTGTCAGTTGGTTTCTCTTTTCTTTATTGAAGAGGGTCTGTGTAACTTATCTGCCTATTCCTTCATCTTACCAGAAGTCTCCCTGCATTCCTTTTTATAACTGAACAGTGTTCCATTATATGGTACCATAGGTGGATTCACCTGTTCATGGCAATTTAGATAGTTGCCAATTTGGGACTATTACAAATAAAGTTGCTATGAACATTTGTGTACAAGTTTTTGTGTGAACATATGCAATAACTTCAATTTTTGAAAGCTTGATTATAGAGTCTCTCAGTGTTAATCTCTTTAGGTTTCTCCTACATGAAATTTACTTAGCTTCTTGGAGTTGTAGATATAGGTCCTTTGTTAGATTTGAAAAGCTTTCTGCCATTTTCAAATACTCTTTTTTTGTCTTTTTCTCTCCTTTGGGGATTTGTGTGATGTGTTTGTTAGTTTGCTTGATGATGTCTCACACTTCTTTTGCTGTGCTCAGAGTCTTGCGCCTTTTCTCTGGTTGCTCTTCAGGTTCCGTAATTTCAATTACCTTGTCCTCTAGTTTACTGATTCTTCTGCTAACTCAAATCTGCTGTTAAGTCCTTACACTGAATTATTTTCATTATCATAGCTCTCAGTTCTAATATTTCTGTTTAGTTGCCCTTTTTTTTAATTGCCTTTCTCATTATTTATATTCTTGATTTGTTTACGCTTTACTTTCCTGATTTCCTTTAGTTTGTCTATTTTCCTCTAGTTCTTTGAGCTTACTCAATATTGTTGCAGTATGTCCTTCCAATCTGTTCATTATCTAGGTTTCCATCAAGATAATTTCTCTCTGTCTTGTTTTTTTTTGAATGGGCCAACATATCCAGTTTTCTCTTGTACCTTGTGATTTTGTTGAAAGGTGGTGTGAGCATTCTCATTTCCCCCTTATATGTGATGCTTTTGAAAGCACTAATTTGTGCAAGAAACTATGAGGTCTATGATTCAGGCCAGACCAAAGTTTCAGTCCTTTAGCAGCTCCCTAACCCATCCAAAAAAAACCCACACTAATCAGAGTACCCTTGCTGATTGAGTAGAGCTTTGCACATCACATGTAGAGGCAACACTGATTTTGAGGGGGGGAGTGGTAAGAGAAGGATGGAGAAGCATGCAAGGAGACAAGACTATACAGCACATAGATCAAGAAAGCATTTTGGTCTTTATCATTGGAAACTGTTGAAAAGATTGAAGCAATGGTTTGTGGGAAGTTAAATATGTGTGTGAACGTACAGCCTCACTTCTTGCTCACAGCTCCTTTCCCTTCTCTATGAGGGTTTTGAGTGAGGCCACAGTGAGGTCTCAGTCCTTCAGTAAGCACCTGGACCAGTCAGAACATACATCCTAAACAGCCCTCCAGGTCTTTCCAATTTACCTTGGAACCAGAGATTGGGACCCCTGTTAGTGTATGGGAGAGATACAAGTTAGCAGTGGCTGCAGCTTTGGCTACACTGCAATTATATGTCTGTTGTACCAGGACAGGGACAGTGGAAAGAGAGACTTTCCTACTGTTTGAAACATGTCCATATCTTTTTCAGTTTGTGGCTCCTTGCTGCTGTCACTTACCTACGTTTTCAGGGTTCTTACAGAGTTCTAGTTTCTTTTCTTGGTGCTTATGTATGAGGGTTGGGTTTCTAGACTTGCTTATGCTGCCACCATCTTCCCAATACCCCAAATGTAAGTTCCTGATTTAGAAGGCTTATGAAGTCCATTTTAGCTCACATAATCAGTTTTATTTTATATATATTTTAAAAGACAGGCTACCCTTTCTTGCTAACAGAAAAACCATTTCATATTTATGTATTTTTTTAAAAAAGAACAATATAATTAGGAAAAAACATTCTTGCTGTTGATTCTGACTCATAGAGACCATATAGTTTAACTATACAGTTTAGACTGTACATTTTAGAAAGCTGTTTTGCTTTTAATATTGAATTAACTTTTGTTAGGGGCTACTATAAAATTCTATTTTAGCTGTACTCATTAGTACTGGCACACTGATAGATGCAAAAATACCTGTGCTTTTCTAGTGCACATTACTTTGCCAGAGTTTTACTGTTGTATGCTTGTTATTTCTCACCTATAATTTGTGGGCTAAGATCTGTTCATCTAAGAAGGGGATACTAGCCAAAGAAGAGTTTATGGCATAGTTGTTTGGTGTTTTTTTTTTATTCAACATTAGAGAAAATTCTTCATGAATTCCCTTATAGTGTTGTATGTTTCCATTAATGGCACCATTATATATCAAGTAATGTGGACCAAACCTGATCTCTTCCTCATATGTTATCCCTTACCTAGTCCTGCCCATACTGCTTCCTGTGTTCTCTTGAATCCTTTACTCCACCATAACACTTTTGCCCAAGCTACCATTATCTTTCTCTTTGATTCTGCAACTCCAACTTCCTAAGCCATTTTCCTGCATTCACTCTTGTTTCCACTTTGGTCCATTCTTGACTCTACAGCCAGAGAAAGCAGAGCTACCTTTTGGAAATATTAACTTAATGCTTCAGTTCCTTTCAGTCGAATGATAAAGACCAAAACTCTTTCTTGGTCTATGTGCTTTATATAGTCTTGTCTCTTTGCATGCTTCTCCATCCTTCTCTTACCACTCCCCCCTCAAAATCATTGTTGCCTGTACATGTGGTGTGCAGAGCTCTACTCAAGTACTACTCCCTGCAGGAATCTTCCCTGATCACCTCCTTACCCAAGACTAGGTCACATTCCTTTTCTATATGCTTTTCTAGCACTGTGTTCTTTTCCTTCTTAGAACGTTCTGCAGTGAGGTCACACTATTTTTTTGGTGTGACTGTCGATTCTGATAGTAGATCATAAGCACTATGAGAGCAGGGACCATAAAGCTCACCATTATGTCCTAATCATTATTTAGCACATTGCTTTGTGAAATAGTAGTTGCTGAATAAATATATATATATGTGTGTACATACATATATATATGTGTGTGT